TGGAAAGTTGGGGGTGGAGTGGGGAGAGAAATAAGGACCTCAGCTAGAGATGTGAAGGCCTGGAAAAAACCTGGAAAAATTCAAAAAAAACCTGGGTTTTTTTCGGTTTTTTTCCTGAAGCCTTTTTTGTTTTTTTCCGAAAAATTGGAAAAATTGAAAAAAGAAAAGAAAAGAAAAAAAATTGATTATGGAACATTTTATTTTAACATGATGAATAAAATATATTAAGACAAGGTGTTCAAATATTTTCCAAATCATTTCTAAAACATATATATATATATGGTATCAGATTGATCTAATTTCTGTGCACTGAGGACAAGCAAGTCCTGGGTTACAAACTGAACTCTCCAATGCAAGAACAAGATGCGTTTATTCCTTTAGGAGGTGCTACTGTCAGAAGAAAATAAAAAGGTTTCAGTTTTGTTTTTGCCTGTGGGTGAGTATTCTGTTTGTAATAATTGTTTGGATACACTATATTTTTAACATGCTAGTTGTGATAATTTCATGCCAAGTAAAAATGTCCATAGCCATATTTTATGTTCCTAAAGTAACAGAATGACTTTCAATCTGGAAAAGACAAAAGAAATGCCAATGTAGCATTTTTTCAATTTTTCCGAAAATTTCCATTTCCCCCTGAAATTTTACATCTCTAACCTCAGCAGCCATTTTCACCAGGGGAACTGATCCCCATAATCTGGAGAAGAGCTGAAAATCCTGGGGGGATCCCCAGGTCCCACCTGGAAGCTGGAATCTCTAATCCAGAATCTAAAGGTGATGTTAATCCCTGGTGTGTGTGTGTGTGTGTGTTGGGGGGACGACACTGTCCTTCAAAACAACTTCACAGGTTGTTTCCAACAGCGAAAGGGCTGAATTTGAATTCGTTAACAACTTCAAGGCAATGTACTCCTCAGAGTTTACCTTAGATTCTTAACTCACTATAGGCACTAATATCTTTCCTATCCCACACCTTACAGGTGTCTCTTTCCCCCACGATTTCATTTCCTCCTGCGTTAGATTTGATGTTTATTGTCTGCTGCTGTTTGTCGTGGTTGGAGTGCCACACACCCACTCCGGGTGTAGATCAAGACAGGTAGCCGTGTTAGGCTGTCTGTAGCGGCGGAAAAGAGCAAGAGTCCGGTAGCACCTTGGAGACGAACAGCATTTGTGGCAGGGGAGGACCTTTCGTGAGTCATTGCCAGTGTTCTCTCTAAGCTGAGTTAGTGTGAACTAGATCCGGCTCACACATATTTGTCTTCGCTCAGGAAGGACGGCTCCAGAGCAAACTAATTCATGCGGCAGCCAAATCGCTCGCTCACAACTTTAATGCCAGTCGCTCACAAAGTAGAATTTTTGCTCACAAGACTCCACAGCTTAGAGGGAGCATTGGTCACTGCTCACTTCTTTGGATACAGCTAGCACGTGAGTCCATCTGTCCTATATATTGGAAAGTGGAGTATTTTTAGAAAGTGGGCAAGACCAGATGAGGCTTATGCATAGCAGGCCTTCTGATTGGTGGATTTTTTAAAAAGACGCTTCGGCAGCAGCTGCCGCCACAGCACAAGGATTTTCACAGTGTGACTGAACATAAACTGTGTGTCTGGCAAGAAAACATTTTAAAACAAAATGTTCATTTTTAAAGGCATCCTGTTAAACAGAGCTTCTGCCTGAAATGCTGAAGAGTAACTATTAGAGTTATGCATGCCCTCGTTCCCGGACATTTTGTGTTTGGCTCCGCCTCCTATGGCAGCCATTTTGTACTGGCGCCTGCTGTCTTCTCTGAGAATCCGAAAGGTGCTGCCAGGCTCAAAAAAAGGTTGGGGACCCCTGAGGGAAAGTACGGAAGGTTAAAATAATTCTGACCGTAAGATTGTTTGTTGACAACATTAAAACTTTTTATTTAAATATTAAGTTATCTGCTCCGCAAAGTAATCACGATTTCTCTCATACAGTTTCTCTGGTACAATGACGATTTCTCTGTAGTACGGCACAAGATTGTAAAAAACACACAGAACCAACCTTGTAAGGTCCCCCCCCCTTTATTTCACGTGTTTAACTGTCTATGTAGTTGTAAAATAAAATATTTAAAAATAAGGAATTAAACAACAGAATTTTAAAAATAAGGAATGAAAGTGGGGAAAAAAACCCTTTCTGCTCTTTCATAGCACCCCAAATCCCGTATTGAATTTTAGCCAATGACTCTGCCTCTTATTGAATCTGAGCCAATGAATCTGCTTCTTATTGAGTCTGGGCCCCGGGTCTATCCCAGGATTCTCTCTTCTGGCTGAAAGAGGCTTTTCCTTGGTTGGGTACCAGGCGGAGGTCTTTCCCAGTGGCCTCTATCTCTGGAGAACCTGAAGGCTGAAGAACTTTTTAATGTTTTTGGAACTGATGCTCTGCAATAGGGGTGGTGCCATAGCCAGCTTGAATTATGCCCAGCACTTTTATCTGACGTACACGCTGGCCCTCAGGGAGGAGGACTCCCCTTTCCTCCCTCAGCGGCCGCGATGTCTAAGACAGCGGAAGAGTAGAGGGAAGAGGAACGAGAGCTGTGTGCACTGAAACCAAACCCGCAACTTCCTCCTCTTGGCTAGGAGGGAGTAAAAGGAGAAAGAGAGGGGTTTCCTTCAGCAGCACATTGGGTGCAAACTGGCTCTAAAACTTATAAACACAGTGCTGGAGGAGACCAGTGCTCTGTCTCATCCAGCGATCCTGTCTCACACCGGAGGTCTCCCAACAGGTAGCCCGCGAGCCACTGCTAGCTCATCAGTTGCTGCAGAGTAGCCTGTGTGTCTCCTAGAAACAGGGGTCCCCAACGTTTTTGAGTCCGTGGGCACCTTTGGAATACTGACACACAGGGTGGTGGACACAAAATGGCTGCTGCAGGAGGCAGAGCCACACATACACAGAGGAAGCCTGTGTGCAAGGAAAAATGAGGTTAATTTTAAAAAGTACACCGGGAAAGAGGAGTGGGAAGGAATATAACCAACACCAATGCTCCCTCTAAGCTATTGCTGCAGAGTAGCCTGTGTGTCCCCTAGAGGAAGGGTCCCCAACGTTTTTGAGCCTGTGGGCACCTTTGGAATACTGACACACAGGGTGGTGGACACAAAATGGCTGCTGCAGGAGGCAGAGCCACACACACACAGAGGAAGCCCGAGTGCAAGGAAAAACGGGGTTAATTTTAAAAAGTATACCGGGAAAGAGGAGTGGGAAGGAGTATAACCAACACCAATGCTCCCTCTAAGCTGTGGAGTCTTGTGAGCAAAAATTCTACTTTGTGGGTGACTGGCATTAAAGTTGTGAGCGAGCAATCTGGCTACTGCACAAATTAGTCTGATCTGGAGACATCCTTCCTGAGTGAAGACAAGGCTGAAAAACTGTGAGCTAGATCGCACTAACTCAGCTTAGAGGGAACACTGACCAGCAGTGCTGAAAAGATGTTCTTCTAATCTGCACTGCTGGTTAGAAGGCCTGCTTGGCACGAGCCCCACCGGGCCCCATTCACTTTCTAAAAACGCTTGGTGGCAGGCCCGTAGCCAGGATTTTGTGGCTTGTGGGGCAATTTTCCCCCCTGGTGGGGCTGAAGTTCTCAGTGCAGGGGGGGAAAACCCAATTTAGCCGATAGAAAGCTGTTGCCAGGATAGATCTCTAAACTGCAAGCTGTCAACCGCTTTAGATGCTGCAAGTTAATCATTTCTGCCAGGCTAAGCAACAGTTCTGAGAACAAGCCGGCAGGTGGTGATGATGACTTCCGTAGTCAAGAAAGCTAACCAGTAGGCAGAGAAACTCTCTTCAAGGAGACCAGTTTCTTGAGACAGAGTTAGAGGGGATCCTAGAGGTCACCTACTCCAGCCCCCTTGCTCAGTGCGGGAATTAATCAACTACAGCACCCCACTCTGCTTAAAGGAGCGCACAACTTTAAAAATGTTTAAAAAAAGCATTTGCAGGCAAAATTCTTGTGGGGCTGTGCCTTTAAGAAAGGGGGTGGTGTCCCCCCAAAGCCCCACAATAGCTACGTGCCTGCTTGGTGGCTACCAAGAAAAGTGTTAGCAGGCACCATGTTGGGGATCTCGCCCTAGGGTAGTGTTTCTGAACCTTTTTGGTACAGTCACCCATAAGTCCATAGGTTTTTTTTAAAAATAAATAGAGCCTGGAGAAATCAGTAAACCCAACAAAGGCTGGCCCGGGACCAATGCTCCCTCTAAGCTGTGGAGTCTTGTGAGCAAAAATTTTCCTTTGTGAGCTACTAGCATTAAAGTTGTGAGCAAATGATTTGTCTACTGCATAAATTAGTTAGCTCTAGACTCGCAGTGTTCCCTCTAAGCTGAGTTAGTGTGAGCTAGCTCACAGTTTTTTAGCCTCTGGCTCACACATTTTTGTCTTAGCTCAGGAAGGGGGATGGCTCCAGAGCAAACTAATTTATGTAGTGGCCAAATCACCTGCTCACAACTTTAATTTCAGTGGCTCACAAAGTAGAATTTTTGCTCACAGGACTTCACAGCTTAGAGGGTACATTGCTCTGGAGCCATCCTTCCTGAGCGAAGACAGAAATGTGTGAGCTGGAGACTAAACAACTGTGAGCTAGCTCACACTAACTCAGCTTAGAGGGAACACTGCCCAGGACCCAGTTTCAAGGCTTAGTGATCCATTTTTGGATTGGGACCCCCAGGTTGGGAAAGACCCAAGAAAAGATGGGAAAAAGATATACTCCAGTCTTGAAAAAACACACCAGGATTTCATTCCCCCCCCTCTGCTGCTAAGCTGTAATAAATCATCTGTATTCCATGTTCTGTTTCTAGGACAGAACAAAACTTGGTGATGGGCTGGGGGTGGGGTGGGAACAGCTCAGGATATTTTGCATGACTCTGAAGTCGCGCTCACAAAAGAACAGGCTGGTCACACACACACACACACACACCCCATTTCACACAAAGGGCTACTAGATGCCCTGGTAACGGTTGAACGTGTGTTACTATGCTGGGCTGCAGGGACAGCTCCAGTGAAAAGCTGCCCTTTTGCGAGGTTTGCGGATGCTAGCCTGGGAAATTCCTGTGGATTTGGGGGCGGAGCCTGGGTAGGGCGGGGTTTGGAGAGGGGAGGGACCTCAGGAGGGTATAATGCCATAGACTCCACCCTCCAAAGCAGCCATTTTATAAGGTGGAACGGGTCACTGTCTCCTGGAGATCAGTTGAAATTCCAGGAGATCTCCTGGCAACACCTGGTGGTTGGCGACCATACCTGCGCCCCCCTGTGCCTGGCCTGTGGCCCCTTACTAGGCTCTTTTGCACGTGCTAATTAATTCAGTTTCAATCCACTTTTGGCGACCGTCTGCAAGTGGGTTTTGCCGTTTCACACAGGAAAATCCAGTTGCAAACAGTGGTTCCCTCTAAGCTGAGTGAGTGCGAGCCAGCTCACAGTTTCTTAGCCTGCAGCTCACACGTTTTTGTCCTCGCTCCGGAAGGAGGGCCCCAGAGCAAACTGATTCATGCAGCAGGCAAATCGCTGGCTCACGACTTTAATGCCGGCAGCTCACCAAGTAGGATTTTTGCTCACAAGACCCCACAGCTTAGAGGGAGCGTTGGTTGCCAAGTGCATTGAACGATGGCTTGAAAGTGTAGAGTGTGTGAAAACGCCCCAACTCTGACCTGGCTTCTCTTATCTTGCCAGAAGAAAAAGCATTTCACAATTCAGTGTTGCTGCAATACTGTCCGGTACATTACCTGGCTTTTCGGTAACCCCTTTGCATATCTGGCCACACCTGTGCCTCGATGGTGTCACCTTCATCCAGCAGTCGAATGAAACCCCACTTTAGTGATGTCCTCCTGTCTAAGACGGGATTTTCCAACCCACCACGTTCTTGCAAGGCTGATTCAGTTTCCCTGTCCACAGACCTGGGAATTTGGAACAAACCCCCTTCCAATAATTTGAAACTGGGTTTGGACTCTCACACACACAGTCGAACACACCATTAAAAGCAACCGGCTTTACTGAAAAGATCTTAAAATGGGATTCAGGCTTAAGCGTAAGGCAAGAATAATGTAAGTGAAGGCAGGCAGGTGACAGCATCTTCAGATCAGCAGAAGTCACAAAGGAACAGGAGATGCAGCGAGATGGTTCATTAGTGGTCCTGACGTTACTGGTGGGTCATGCATGGAAAGACTTGTGCCAGATGGTGATAAGTTAACCTTATAGGAAAACTGGATGCCTGACCAGTATAAGCCAATCAAGGACATGATCCAAAAGAGCAAGAGTCCAGTAGCACCTTGAAGACTAACAAAATCTGTGGCAGGGGATGAGCTTTCGTGAGCCCCTTCTCACTTCTTCAGATAGAGCTAGGAGTGAATCCATCTGGCATTATAATTGGAGATCAGAGTGGGTTCAGATGTTGAATGACAACAGCAGGCATGATTGGATAGGTAGGATATGCAGAGGGGGAAGTAGGCTTGGAGAAATCAGCATTGGTAATAAGACAGGAGACCTAGGTCTCGATTCAGTCCAGGGGGATGCATTGCCTTGAGCTTCATTATCGGTTGCAGTTCAGCAGTCTCTCTTTCTAATCTCCCTTTGAAATTCCTTTGTAAGAGCGCTGCTACTCTTAGGTCAACAACTGAATGTCCTGGAGGGTTGAAACGTTCCAGATGACTCTCGCAGGAGCAGGACTCCCCCCCTCCCATCTGAGTGTAGTTAAGTCAGATCGCTTTGATATTCAGAGGTGCGATTTCAAACCTTTCGGCTTGGGAGCGGCGGAAGAGGAGCGGTAAACATTTGATACGCAACTCTCTAGCTATTCTCTATCACTTGGTGGGCACGTCAGGAAACAGGCTCTTGCTTTATACAGATGACACGGCCAAAGGCTGATGTTTAAACTGTCAGGTCTATCGATGGACAGAGGTGACCCTCTCTCTTGACCCCGACAGTAATCCGAATCGTCTGCTCTCCTCATTTCTCATCCCTGCAGCCCTCCAGCGGCTCCAGCCCAAGGCCCCACCATGTCGTCGCGGGTTCTTCTGCGGCAGCAGCTGATGCGGGCGCAGACCCAGGAGCAAGAGCGGCGGGAGCAGCAGCAGGCCGCCCAGTTCAGCCCCGTCGCCCCTGTGCCTTCCACACCCGCCA